CTCTCTCTCTCTCTCTCTCTCTCTCTCTCTCTCTCTCACACACACACACACACACACACACACACACAATGGTGGCTAGGTTAGGAGACCATTGCCAGATTCTGCATGGCCAGACTTTACATATACATCTGGGTTTTTTGTGTCAAAAGGCGTATGTGCAGATTTCCAAGCTCCCTGTTCTGTTGCCATGGAAACATTCAGGCTTCCAGAATTCTGGGCACAGGGCCTGCTTCCTGTGGTGCAGGGGAGGAGAGGAGAGATGGAGGGTGACAGAATGATTGGAAAGCCTTTTAGGAGAAGGTTGGCTGGTGGGACACTGGGACACGCTGGGTCTGGGTGACCTCACGCTGTCCCCTCATTGCCCAGGTCCACCTGTCCTTTCTCCTCTCCCTCAGATCTTCTCAGGCTAGAGGAGAATAAAGGACATCGGGTAGAGCTAGGTGGAGACCACTAAGTCACCGCCTGGGTCCTCAGTGGGCTTTGAGAGGTATTAGCTTTAGGGCTGGGGGGGTCTAGTGTTATGTCACGTGACCAGGCTCCTGGGAACATCAGGCAACCCTCCGGGCCTGTGTTCCAGACAGCGGTGGCCTCAGGCCTGAAGCTGCGCTAGCTGGCTTCTCCCTTTCTGTGGGTGTTCCAACCTCCCAAGAACCTGCTTAAAATGGGATTTCCAGGCCCTGACGTCAGAGGGAAGCCAGCAGCTCCCTCTGCCTGTGCCAGCTCCACCGTGATTAGCAGAGCTAAGCGCAGCCTTGCTCAGTCTGCAAGGAGGCAATGCTAACAGCGTAGGGAGGAACGTGGGACCCTAAGCAGTGGTCCCCGTATCTGCGGCATCCCGGGGGGCGGGGGGACAAGAACAAGCTGTTTCCGGGTCGAAAGACCCTGCTGGCTTCCCTGTTAACTTAAAATTCAACTAGTGCGTGATCATTATCCTCCCAAGCGCCATAGTTACTTCCTCTCGGTTCTAGGACTCACGCCTGGCTTGAGGGAGAAAACCGGCATCTCAAGTCAGTCCCGAGAGCTGGACAGCGGCTTCGGTTTGGGTCTTACCCAAGCATGGGCTATGCGAGCTCTGCCTGCAAGGAGACGAAAGGCCCACTAGGTGGCGCAGCTCCCTCCTATTGTGAGATTCCATCTTCAAGCAGAGAACAATCTCTCCAATGGCTCAAGGCCTGGAGACCAGAAAGCCTCAAACTCTACTCCATGGAAGAGGAGACTAAAGGGGTGGGGGAGCATCTTTGAGGGTAGACAGGACAGCTGGGGGTTCTCCAGAAATCTCTGGCCGAACCCAGCCTGTGTGTACCCCCACCGCTCAGAACAGGAGGTGGACAGACAGACTCAGAAAATAAAACCTTCTGGAAAGGATTCTGCACAGTTCTGGGTGCAGGGAAAAATGCCAGGCTTCCTCCAGGAGGGACCTAACCTGGGCTTCCAAACTAGCATCTGAGAGACACCTAGTGAAATGGATTTCAGGGTCAGGAGAGGAGAGGGGCAGAGCTGGGGGTCGTGGGGAAATATTTCCACATAGTTGTTGCGCCCCTGGCCTGGCCGCAGTGGCATCCCAGGCCTGCCCAGGCTTCCATCTCAGTGACCTACCTTTCTCTGACCTCTCCCCCAAACTGACTCCAGGCAGCCCTGTCTCCCTGGTGAATTACTCTCTCCTTTTGTCCTAGCCAGATGAGTGATCAATAAATAATGTTGCCTGAAATATTGATGGAGAGTTTTACACCAGCATCCCTTAGCTGTGCCTGGCAGGGCCATGACCCTCTAGGCAGCCCTTTCATGTTGCCAATAAAAGGTTTCTCTTAGGCCAAGATTTCCACCTGATCCCATCTGAACCAAAATCATGACTCAGTTTCACCAAGAGATGTGAGAGATTAACTTAACCCGGCTGCCTGAGCAGGGTAGTTCGGCCGAAACGAGCAGAGACCCTTCCCGATTGATTTCCGGTGATGCCATCGGGATCCTACATCTGTCCACCTCGGGCCTGCCAGGTCCATTTTCGGGGTGGCCCAAGCAGAAGGTGCCGACGACGAGGGGGCATGGTAGAGAACACCTGTAATCCAAGCCCTCAGAGAGAAGAGGCAGAAGAATCGCTCCAAGTTGAAGCTAGCCTGGTCTACATAGGTTCCAGACTAGGCAGGACCACATAGGAGACTCTGTCACAACAAAACACAACACACAAATGAATAAAAGTGCTGGGCAGTGGTGGCACACACCTTTAATCCCAGCACTCGGGAGGCAGAGGCAGGCGGATCTCTGTGAGTTCAAGGCCAGCCTGCTCTACAAAGCGAGATCCAGGACAGGCGCCAAAATTACACAGAGAAACCCTGTCTCGAAAAACCAAAAAAAGAAAAGAAAAGGAGAGAAAGAAAAAGAAAAGAAATAAAAAAAATAATAGTGATCATGTGATCAGATGTCTCTGGCCCAGGCCACTCGCATCAGGTTTACTCTCCCGCATGAAGGGTAAGAGGAGGAGGAAGAGGGGGGAGAGCTGGAGATGAAGGAAGCTCTGGCTCTAGCTCAAGCCCCCCCCTCCCCACTCGGTGCTCAGCAGAAGCTGGGTCCAGTGTCCACTCAAATCACTGACGCGTCTCTCTGCCCAAGAACCCCGCTCTCCTGCTTCCCTAGGTCTGCTCCTGAAGTGCACAAATCTCAGCTCAGATGTTATCCCCTCACCCCCAAGCTGCCAGGTGTCCCCTCCAGGCCGCCGTCACATCTGTCCTTCCCGCTGTCATCGTCAGCCCGGTTCCTTAGTGCCTGTTTTGGAGTCTATTCCCCCATCAGGCTGCAAGCCCTTTCCCACACAGATGGGAGTCAGCGTTCCAGCCACATTCAGTTCTCGCTTTAATTCAAATGCTAAATCGGGAAGAAGAGCAGTTTCACACTCCATATTTAGTCTGGGAGAGAAAAAAGTGAGACAGCATGGATGTTACCAGGGAAAGAAGGCTGGGCCTGGCTTGGAGAGGGTGGAAAACCTACCCAGAGCCCAAAGGAAGAGCATGGAGTCCTTGGCACCTCCTGAAGCTAATCACCCAGAGCCCCAGTCGGTGAAAGACCCAGGTCCTTTCCTCCACCAGCTCACTCAGCGTTCCCTCAGAGAATTGGGGGCATGGCTGAGGGAAGCCATGGGATACGAGCTACCCAGAGCCGGACTGTGGTGGTGCATGCCTTTAGTCCCAGCACTCAGGAGACAGGCAGGCGGATCTCTGTGAGTTCAAGACCAGCCTGGTCTACAGAGCGAGTTCTAGGACAGGCTCCAAAGCTACACAGAGAAACCCTGTCTCAGAAAAACAAACCAAACAAA